CCCCGGTCGCTCCCGGAACATCCCGCTGCGCTCCCCGTCCATCCCAGTATGCCCAGCTGCCCCCTAGAGTGTCCCACTGCCTTGGCCGCACCCCAGTGTGTCCAGGTGGGTCCTGTGGCTCTCCCAGTCCATCCCAGCACCTCCCTGTTCTCCCTTCAGGGACTCCTTGTCTGTGCGAGTGCCTCTCAGTCCAGCCAAGTTATTCCTAATGCATCCTGCTGCCCTTCCCAGTATGTTCTACTACCCCCCAGTGCCTCCTAGTGCATCCTACTGCCTTCCAATAACACCTCCCGGCCCACTATGTCCTCCAGAGCTTGTCCTAAACGTTTCCTTGTGAGTCCTGCTGTCTCCTCCCGGTGCATCCCATTACCTCTTGCTCCATTGCATTGCCTCCTAATATGTCCTGTTGCTCCCTTCCGCTGCTTCCCAGCATGTCCAGGCATTCCCAGTGCCTGGTACCTGCTCCCCGGTTGTCACCTCACTGCCCGGGAATGCCTCAACTGCCCCACAGCTGCACATGGGGCAGCTCCTGCACCACCAACAGCCCTGATTAAATCTCAGTGAGGCCCTGACTGTGGCAGCTCTTCCCTGTCCTGACTGATCCTTCTTGTTCTTCCCAGGCAGACGACTTCATCCGGGCCAATGCCTGCAATAAACTGACCGTCATCGCTGAGCAGATCCGGCACTTGCAGGAGCAGGCTCGGAAGGTGAGGAGGCAGCTGCCAGCAGGCTCGTGCCTCCTGCTTGCGAGGGGAGGGAGATGAGTGTCTGAACTGCCAGACATTGGGAAGAGCTCTGGCCTGGATGTGAGGCGTGGCCAGGAGCCAAGTAGAGCAGGTTCAGTGGGAAAATAAGGAGAGTTTATTGTGTGGTATCAACTGGGGATGGGGAGGGTTGTTTCTAGTGCTTTCCCCAAGTCCTGTGCACATCCTGTGTGTTGAGGTGGAAGAGTGATGTCTCCTCACTAGTCAAAAGCAGCTGAGGTGTCAGGGAGGACAGAGATGACTCAGTTTGGGGACAGGTGACTCCTGTCCCCACAGTGTGTGCTCCTGGGAGGGCTCGGTGCAGTGGGGTGACAATGGGCTGGTTCTGAGCCCCTGGGATGGATGAGCTGTTACCTGACGATGGGCTTGGCTTTTCAGTTTGTCCCAGCTCATTTACTGGAGCAGCTGGCCCCAGCAGCAAGGCCAGCAAGGCTCAGCCGTGCTCTTCAATTCACACTTCACCCTCAGGGGTGAAATCTCGGAGCCTGAGTGGGAAGGGAGCTGCCAGTCGCTGCGACTGGCCCGCTGCCATCAAGGCCACTGTGTCATATAATCGTTAACTGGTGGGGCCAGAGCTGTGGAGCAGTCAGCTGGTGGTGGATGAATCCCTCTTTGTTTGCTGTCCTTTCCCTTGGGGACTGTAGCAGGGAAGCTCCCAGGGTATGGCAGCTGTGTATGGAGACAAGGAATGAGTCCAGCATGACTCCCAGGTCAGGCACAGAGGTGAACTTGGGGCTGTGGTGAAGAGGTCTGTCATGTTTGAAGGTACCTCCACCTCTGTGGAGGGCTGCAGGAGCTCTGGGGTCCAGCTGACAGGGGAAACTTGGAGAAAACTTTCTCTTTAGGAAGCATCTCCTTCCTGGGGCAAGTCAAGATCTGTTGCATGAAGCCACATGAGCAGCATGTCAAGTGCTGCGTGTCAGGCTCTGTCTGAGAAGCAGTTGTGTTGTCATTTTATTTCAGTGGTAGAGATGTTATATTTGGGGTTTTTTAGGTCTTGGATGAAGCTAACAGAGATGCTGATCTGCACCATGTGGCCTGCAACCTTGTGAAGAAGCCAGGAAACGTTTACTACATGTACAGGCGGGAGAGTGGCCAGCGATACTTCTCCATCCTGTCTCCTAAGGTGGGTGCTTACAGCCCCAGAGGAAGCAGGGAGGGGAAAAACCTATGGTTTTGGTGTTTGGGTACTTCTGGACCTCAGACAAGAGCACCAACCTGATGGGGGCATTTGCTGGTCCCTGCTCAGTTGGCATTTGTCCTTGGTCTGAGTTACTCTGCTAGCCACAAAGCCAGATTGTGAAGTTCTCTTGGTGATGGTGGGCAAGAAGACCTTGGTGTGTAGACCTGAATTCTGCCTTTTGGCTCCTGTGGTTCTTTCTCTAGAAGTAAAGAACTGCAGATGTGCCCTGTGCCTTCCCTGACTGCTGTGGCTGCCTGGTACGGTCTCCTCAGGTGCTTCAGCCCAGGGATTGAGTTTGTAGCTTGGTAGAGTGCTCCTGGAGGTATCTTCCTTCCAGGCCACCCATTTTCTTACATGCAGGGTGAAGGTTTCAGAGGAAAGCATCAAGCATGTAGAGGAGCTCCATGCAGGGCAGGGAGATCTTGTGTTCCCAGGCCTTCCTGTGTCAGCAGTGCTATAGCTTGACCTGGTCTTAGTCCTTGGGTCTGTTGAACCTATTTTGAGGTTAGAAATGAGGTTAGAAAATGGGGTGATCAGGTAGCTGGGACTGCTTCAGAGGTGGTAGAGTTATCCAGCATGGGCAGAGGGACAGCACAAGGGAAGCTGAGCAGTGATGTGAATCTCTCCTTTCTCCTCCAGGAGTGGGGGACCAGTCCCCATGAATTTCTCGGTGCCTATAAGCTCCAGCATGACATGTCCTGGACTCCATTGGAGGACTTGGAGAGACGAGATGCTGAAATAAACATCCTGGAGAAGCTGCTGAGCCGTCAGGCAGCGCTGCCCCCATGCACAGAGCCCAACTTCCAGGGCCTGACCAAGTGACACAGGGACCACACAGGACCCCTGGAGCAGAGTCCCTGCATGAGGACACGCAGTGCCTGTGTGCTGCCAAAGGCAGGGCAAGGAAACAGACCAAGGAACAGAGATGCTGATGCTGCCAGTACTTGCTCTGTGCTTTAAAGAGCCTCATTCTGCATTCAGCCTTACTGGATTTTCTAGTAATTGAGTAATTTATTTCTTTGATTATGCCAAGCTGTAGCGAGAGGTGGATAAGATCAGGTGGAGTCAATTCCAAGAAGGCTTGGGGCAAAAAGCAAAAGTGCTTGGGGCAGATGTGATAATGCTCTGAATTATGTCCTGCCAGTCCAGCTCTGGCTTTTGTGGCAGGATGAGTTCAGGGATGGATTTTCTCCATTATTAAAATGTATGTGTATAGGAAGCTCTGTGTCCTGGGAAGAGCCATCAAAACCTTGCACAAAAGGTCTGTTGTGACTGCTGGTCTCTCTCCCAGCTGGTCCAAACCCCTGAGTCTGGAACATGGGGTGACCTGGAGCTCTCTTTTCTGGGAAGAGTGTCCTCTGAAGTGCCATGAAGGCTCCAGGTGCTATTCGGAAGGTGGATGTTTGACAGACCTCACACATTCCCCTTGGATTTGAGTAGGTGAGCAGCCAGAGGGAGACAGAAATGTGTAGGGACACTCAATGCCTCAGTGCCAGAGCAGTGAAGCAAACAAATCAAATCTTGATCTCAAGTGTACCTCTGAGATGGGCCCTGTGTCCTGTCTGCATGGCAAGCATCCCTTTAGCTTTACCAGGGAGACTTGGTGGCGTGTGGAGCTGGTAGCACATCTCTTATGAGGAGGGGCTGAGGGACCTGGGGGGGTTTAGTCTGGAGAAGAGAAGGCTCAGGGGGGACCTTATCACTCCCTACAACTGCCTGACAGGAGGATGGAACTAGGAGGGGGCTGGTCTCTGCTCCCAAGGGACAAGGGATGGGACAAGAGGAAACGGCCTCAAGCTGCACCAGGGTAGTTTGAAAGGGAGCTGAGGAACAATTCCTTGCCCAGAGGGTGCTCAGGCATTGGAACAGGCTGCCCAGGGCAGTGCTGGAGTCACCGTCCCTGGAAGTGTTCCCAAACCATGTAGACGAGACCCTTGGTGACATGGATTAGTGGTGGCCTTGGCAGTGCTGGGGAATGGTTGGACGTGATGATCTTAAAGGTCTTTTCCAACGTAATTGATTCTATGATTCTATTATCTCCAGCCTCTTTATCCACCAAGAACTGGGGAGAGGCAAAGATCAGAGCTGCTGAGGAGGTGTCCTCCCTCTGCCCCGTCACACAGGGCTCCTCCAGGAGCTGCTCTGCGAGGACCTGAGGTGGGCATGTGCTGATGGAGATGTCCAGGTTGGATCCCAGCATGTGACATCAGTTCTGGTTGGTTCCCATGACTTGTTTGCCTCCTCGAGATGACAAGATGATACTGTGCTGCTCAAGGCATTGCATGTGCACGGTGGCCTTAAGCTCCTTCTCTGCTGGAGATGTGTGAGGGTTGGGGACTGCTTGTGGAAGGGAATTATGACTCCACCAAGGGTGGAGGTCATGCTTCTTGGTGGAGCCCAACCGCAAGTGTACTTGTATATCACCTCCACCTGCATTTGTGGTTGGGCTCTCCTGCCTTCCTAGGTGGTAGTGGAGGAACGGTATCCTCTCTTCCCCATGGCATGGCTCTCAATCTCTTCAACTCCTCTGAACATCCTTGTTCCCTCTCTAGCATCCATTTGTTTGTCTCACACAAGGTCCCCAGAGCATCCTGTTCCTCCTGGTCCTTGCCTGCTGCTGGGAAGGGTTCAGGTGTCCCACCAGAGTCCTGCAGAGTTCTCCTGGGTCACTCTCAACTCACACCTCTCCATCTTGATGTCTGAACCTACTGCTTTGGTTTTGGTGCTGCAGTCACTGCCAAGGGGAGGGAGGACCTTTCTGCACCCCTGGTACACCCTGAGAGATGCTGGAGGCTGCTGGAAGCACCAGTTCCCTGTGGGAAGAGCCATTCCCTGCAAGGATCGCAGAGGGATGGGAGGTTTGAGGCAGCTCCCTGGCACCCCAGGAGTGGTTTTGTCCTGGATTTTCTTCTCTCAGCTCTGCTCAGCCCCATTCCAGTGAAGTTGGTCCTGGAATCAATGAGGGACATTTCAATCACCTTTTCCCAGTGCCCTCCCTCATTTGGAGCACAAGGGCAGGTTAAAAGCAATGTCTGATCATTATTATTATTAGGCCAGGGTATAATTAATGCCTTATCGAGTCACAAGTGTCTAATTTGATGGTTCTTTCCCTGCTTGTTTCATCGCCCCAGGTCTTATTTTACTGCATGTCATTAAACGTGAACTTGGAAGAGAGAAAGTTAATTACAGCATGGGCTTTGCCATGGTGCTAATTACAGCAACATCAGAGACCTTCACATGTGCTCATTTACGCTCCTCTGGGAAGAGGGGATCCCTGCCCCAGTTTTACCTGTTTCCCATCATTAAAATCCATGTGCAAAGGGATTGGGGTGATGTTCAGAGACCTCCATAGCTTGTGATTTCATGCACTTGGGCTGTGGTGGGGTTTCACATCGCAAACAAATGCCCCTGACCATCTGTACCTCACTGCCTGTGTCCTGCAGTTCCTCTGGGCACTGGCAAGGCTTTTGCTTGAATTTGGCCCAGAAAAGCAAACCCACCATGGCCACAGCTTTGTATGAGAATACACAGGAGGTAAGGAGCGAACACGGCAGAACCAGAGGCTGCTGCAGCTTCCAGCTGCAGAGGCAAAGCATTTCCTAGATGAGAGGTGAAAAATCGCCCGTCTCCTGCATGGCTTCATTTCCACTCATGATTTCATCTTGAAGAATGATTTTGAAAGTGTTCCTCTCCCTTTGCTCTTCCATGAGCACTCAGGGCTGCAGTGAGCATGGTCTGAAGGCAGCAGCTCACTCCAAAGTCCATGGGGATGGATGGTATTTGCTGAAGGCACAGACGTGCTTCTGGCACCACTGGCTTTGGGCAGAGTAGGTTTTGCTCGTGTACAGATAACGGCCCTTCAGAAGGATGCTGTTAACATCTGATCCGGCCCTGGGTGCCCCAAGACCAGCAAGTTTTTTGTTTCAAGCCAGATTTTGGCTCCTGCTTCTCAAACAATCCTGGAGATTTCTCCCCTGTGCTCTTGTTCCTGAAGATTTTATTTTATTTAGGGTTTTAGGGGGG